AGTCATTGTGTTTCGGTCTTTGTCACCACCCCTGAGGGCTTTATACCCACAGCAAAGACTTTTGTCTGCAAGAACTCATAATTTACTAGCTGTCAGGTATCTCTGCTGCTTCATTTCTTGCTTCACTCACACTCTTTCTGTGGACTGAATACAGAAAACGTGGAACTCACAGCTAAGGGGTGATGAATGACTGCAGGTTTTCTTGTATTTATAAACCCCGGTTACATAAATATTCATGACTGGAATGAAGCCTTGGCATCGTTGCTCATAATGCAATTAGCAAAAGGCACAAACTGCATCCAAATGTTGCCCACACTTTAGCCAGATATCCGCCCACAACCGTGCTTTGTTATAAACAGCTGGTGGTGCTAATTCTTCTGAGATCATTTAAAAGATTCAAATAAGAGTCAAACCTCAAAATGTGCATAAAACCAATAGATGGAAACGCACTTACAGGTCAGCGATGTCTCGTTTCAGGTGATGAGAACATTCCTCCGTTTGTTTTTTTACTTCTAATCGATGACTTTGACTTCCTCCCAGTCTGTACTGTGGCTGGTATACAGAGGCCTGTTGCTGACAGGCAGTTGAGTCCTGGGCAGCGTCTTTGGTTTCACAGCTAACCCCGAGGGTTGCGGATTTCCATTACATCACATCATGTTGTTGTAATTTTTCCAGCTGGTTGGTGTAAAGTTTCATTGAGCCTGTTCTTTTGTGAAGTTACAGAGTTCATGTTTATCACAGAGGAAATCCTGAGCGGTGTGCACACGTGTGGGTTGAAGCTCTGCTTCTCGTTTCCTCGCTCAAGGCCAACACAGCCTAGATCTGTGTGTGTGTGTGTGTGTAAAATCTTAGGAGAGTTTATGAACAGAATCATTCCCCCCCTTGTTTTTCATTCAGCTCTTATCAGAACTGCTCGGTTTGCCTGTGACGATAACTTTTTGTTCTCTCATATCTCCCCAATTGGTCATCGCTCCTTTCATCTCTCCACATTTTCCTCCAGCCTGCAGATCTTTTTCACAGGATCATCGCAGACGATCTGGTTGTTATTGTTGACTCTGGGCTGAGTTCAGCTCCTGTACAGAACCTGTGTGTCTGTGCTTGTGTATGTGGTTGCTGTTCCTGTGTGTAATGTTGAATACAGCAGCATTCCTGTAAGTTTGCTGTCCAAGCAGCAGGAGAAGAGTGTAGCCTATATGC